TAATATAATGTATATAAAAGGATTAAACTATTATATATACAGACTCATTGTGTGTGATATAATTTTCAGAATGCAATCCTTAAACTGCAATGTATTACCGTTTTAAATATCAGCATGTGATGCATATGACATGAGCACAAGATGCACAAAAATGATGTACAATTGTGTGTATCATGTATATCAGGTTTTGTTATCATAATGCTATCATATGAGATATTTTGCTAACATCATGACATGAGTAATTTCTGAATGGCATATGCGCACGCATCTGTATGCATTTGTGCGATCATATTTTGTCACTGTATGGCCGCATGCTGAGCGCAACATGACATAATTTTTCTATCTGGGATGTTATCGCAAAACCATGTGGAGTTCCTACTCCCGAAGAGAGTAGGAGGAGAGGGAGCGGAACATATTGTTTCCACGCATGTACTTCCACCGTTGTACTGTTCCATATGGGTTTGCAACTTTCCATGCGAAGGGAGATTCACTCCACACCTCAGATATAGTTTGAGTTGGGTTAGGGTTAGGTTAGGTTATATTTTAACGAAGTGGAACCCCTTTAAGAGGGGCGGAACATACTATTTCCATGAATGTACTTCCACCATTGTACTTATATTGTAATATCTTTATCATCTTTATACTCAGTTTTCCCGAAAACTGTTATTCCTGTAATGAAAATGTATTCAACCTAAAATGTTTATCTCTGTAAGATCTAAAACTTTTGTCTGAAACATTTATCATAATTTTCCGTATATACCGAGATAAACTTAAAAAATTATAATTTTTATGAGTTCACCATGAAAATCAAGTAGTCGCCAATTTTCACTATGGTATTCGTAATCAGCACGTCAAAATAAGTAGAAACACTGAGTTTTAAAAAATCAAGGATATATACTTTACGGAACTTTATCCCATTTATTATACATAACTGTTTTACGTTTTACTGGGTAATTTGCTTCTAAATGTTGAAATAATTGTGCATGATTTGTCCCCTAAATTAAGATTATCAATTTTTTTGGCAAATACCATTTAGAAATTTTATTCCTGCAAAACCGTTGCGTTTTCACGAATTATCTTAATACAATCATTGTGAAATTTCTTCCTCTTGGATGATGTAATGATTACACAATATTTGAGACATTTTCCTACCGGGGAAAGGTTATCTTTGCGGTATTTTATCATGCAATATGTCCCAGCAAACACAAAGTAACAGTTACATAACTGTAAGTTAAAATTTCCTACTCAACAATATAACTGTTATATAACAGTTATATTGTTGAGTAGGAAATTTTAACTTACAGTTATGTAACTGTTACTTTGTGTTTGCTGGGTTATTGCAACTGTTCAAACTCTCTCGCTCAAAGATGGAATAAATTTAAATTACGTAATGAGTAAACATCAATCAAATTAAAATTAAGTAATAAAAGTACAAATCTCATCGCAATATTTGTTCCATATCACAATCTCATCTTTATGTGTTTTATTTATGTTTTAGGCGCCAAGTGGCACTTACGACGAAAAATATTAACTCCCACATTTCATTTTAACATATTGCAGCAGTTTGTTGAGATTTTGCTCGAGGAAGGCGAAAACATGACTATGTCTTTGAAAAATACAGGAGACACAGTTGTAAAAGATTTAGTTCCATTCGTTAGTGAACATACGTTGAATGCAATATGTGGTATGATGACATAATTATAATTGTACAGAACTGTCTTTCTGCTGTAAGATAAAAAATATAACTCTTTTATTAAAAATATCAGCAATACCATAACCGATCCTTATAATATTTTATTTTTACAAGAGCAGATATACTTAATTGAAACATAGATATATGTATTGTAACTTTATAGCAATATGTTGATAAATATATTTACAGAAACTGCGATGGGCACTTCACTCCAAGGCCTTAATGCATTCCAACAGCAGTATCGAAACGCGGTTCATCGGATGGGCGAATTTTTTGTTTATAGGTAATGTATAGTTACTAGACAACAAAAGCGCCCCATTTACTCTATCTATAAATTTGACAGCTGCAAATAACACGACTGAAGCAAGTAGTATCGCACAAGCGAGACAGCCAATCAGCATCTCGGAAAAGCGACAACAATTATACTTCGAGACTTCGACTTACATAACACGCCTTTTTTATATAGGAAACTAGCACGCAGCGCGCGCTGACGCGCGCGCCTCCACTGCTTTTCTTAATTATTTCTTTTATTTAAAACTTATTTAAATACAGGAAGATCCAGGTTCAAACCCTGGCTGAGGTGTTACTTTTCGAAAATTTTCTTTAAAGTTTTTTCAGCGATGAAGAAAAGGAAGAATTTAATAGATGCTTGTTAGTATGAAAAATAATTAGATTACTTGTGAATCTAATGATATATACAGGGTATC